CCTACGCTTGCACTTCCCGCTCCCACTAATAATACTCGTTGTTGGTTTGGCAACAATCCAGTCTTTTTTATGGCATTAATTAAGCCTGCCAAAACTACGGCACCAGTTCCTTGAATATCATCATTAAAACAAAGATATTTATTTTGATAACGTTCCAGCATTCCCAGGGCATATTTAGTCTGAAAATCTTCAAAATGAATTAATGTTTGAGGGAAGTTTTTAGTTAATGTTTTTAGAAGGACATCTATATATTGATAAAAATTTTTTTCGCTTGGTCTTTTTTTTTTCAAACCGAGATAGAAAGGGTCTTCCAAATATTTTGGGTTGTCTGTTCCACAATCAAAGATAACTGGTAAAATTTTACTTGGTTCGATTTTAGCAAAAACACTGAGTAATTGGGCTTTGCCCCAGCAAATAGGAAAACCATTAACTCCTAAATCTCCTAGACCTAAGACACGTGATCCATCAGTTAAAATAACAATCTGTGGTATACCAAATTTTTTCCGGTAAGTAGCAAAAATTTTATCAAGGTTAGGTAAATCATTCAAGTTAATAATCAATCCTTCTGGTGGTAAAAAAGGAATCAGCGAAGAATAATTTAGGCAAATTTCTCCAATAGTGGGAGTATAGATCAACGGCAGTAATTTTTTAGGGTTATCGAGAATCAGTTGAGAAAACAAAGTAAAATCATTTTTTTTTAATCAAGTCAAAAGCAAGTATTTATCGATAACGCTTTTTCTTTTTTCTAACTGTTCAGAAATAATTTTTTTTTTTTTGCAAAAATTGCTGAATAAATCGCCACTTTCTTTATTAGTTTTTTTCCTTTTCATTACCAAATTAATCTTTTTTTCTAATAATCAGGTAAATAATTATTCCAATAATTCCTGTTCCCTCAATGATCAAATGGTCTCGTCCTAGTTCTTGGGATTTCTGTTTGATTAGTTCGTAGAGATCAGTCATGTTTTTATTCAATAGTTTGGTTTTGGATTTTTTTCCCCGAATTAGAGTCTAGTTTTTCTTTGTTAGAAGCATCTGAAACATTGTATTTTTTGATTTTCAATTTCTTTTCTCTGTCTAAATTAATCAACAAATACTGGATACTAGATGATTGCTGAAGAATTTTTTCTATCTGTTGAATTTTTTCAGAATTAGTTGTCAAATGAAGCAACAAATAGTTTTTTACTTCAACTGTTCAAAATAATTTTTCGGTTTCTAATTTTTTTACTTCTAGTTTCTCAAGTTCTAAGTCCTGAATTTTCTTTATCAATGACTCCTTTTTTTGCTCTCCTTGGTCTAAAAATAAACATAGCAATTCGTAATTATGAACATTTTTTTTCATAAGTTATTTTTACAATTTATGAGTGGTTTCGTTGTATATTCAAGCAAGCGTGAACGCACAAACAATGGCAAGAGCTGCCCAAAAACCAAAAAAATAAAAAAAATAAAGTAACTATGAAAGAGAAAAAATTACCAAGTTTCGTCCGTGCGGCTATTCAAAATAAAACTGCTGAATTCCTTTTAGTTAAAAATAAAAAAGGTGGTTGAAATTTTCCTGGTGGCAAAGTGGAAAAAAACGAAAGTCCCGAGGAAGCAATAAAAAGAGAAGTGAAAGAAGAAGTTAATTTAGTAATAGAAAAATTAGAAAAAATTGCGGAAAACATCTTTCATATTGACGACGATTGAATAGACAATGAAAAACGACGAGGTTATTTTTATCAAGTAAATAATTATTCAGGAGGTATAGCCAACCAAGAAAAATCCAAAATATTAGAAATAAAGTTTTGAAAGAAAGAAGATATTTTAAAGGATGAAGCAGTAAATGACATAGTTAAATTTTTTTTGAGAAGTATGGAAATACAAATTAGAACGCCAAAAGGACTTAAAAGCACCAAAAATGAATAAACAATATTTAGAAACTTGCCGCTTAGTTCTCGAAAAAGGACAAAAGAAAAAAGACCGCACCGGGGTTGGCACCATTTCCTATTTTGGCACTAAAATGGAGTTTGATTTAAGGCAAGGTTTTCCTCTCTTAACTACCAAAAAAATCTCTTTTCGCTTAATAGCTCACGAATTATTATGATTTATTAAAGGAGGCACTAACATTAAATATCTAGTAGACAATGAGGTTAACATTTGAAACGAATGACCGTTTGAAAAATACAAAAAAAGCATGAATTACCAAGGAGAAAACTTCGAAGAATTTATTAAAAAAATTAAACAAGACCAAGCATTTGCTCAAAAATATGGAGATTTAGGACCAATTTACGGAAAACAATGACGAAATTTTAACGGAGTAGACCAATTAAAATTGTTAACCGAAAATTTAAAAAACAATCCTTTTTCACGCCGGCATATTCTAACGGCTTGAAATCCGACAGAATTAGAAAAAATGGCTTTGCCGCCTTGTCATTTGCTTTGCCAATTCGAAGTTTCTTCTGACTATCATTTATCTTGCCTTCTTTACCAAAGGAGCGGCGATTTATTTTTGGGCGTTCCTTTTAATATTGCTTCATATTCTTTACTAACTATAATGTTAGCCCAAGTTTTTGGTTATAAAGTGGGAAAATTCGTTCATGTCATTGGGGATACTCATCTTTATCTAAACCATTTAGAGCAAATTCAAATTCAACTTACTCGTCAACCAAAAAATTTGCCCCAAGTAGAATTAAATCCCCGAGTCGTTTCACTTTTTGATTTTACCATTCAAGATATCATTTTGAAAAACTATCATCCTTGACCGACCATCAAAGGAAAAGTGGCAGTTTAATTACTAGCAATGAATGTGGTTTTTATTGATGAGACTGTTGATATACTCTTGAATTTGGTGGGTCATTAATTTTAGTTATTTTGCGTTTTCTAGCAGGGTGGATTTTTTTTCTACTAAGTCAGCAAAGTCAAGAGGATAGTCCTCAAGCCAAATCTTTAAACAGCTTCGGCAAAGGAGCTTTCAGCCATTCCAAGTGTTAGTTTCATCATCGGCTCAGTAAGCAACTTTTTTTGCTTGGGACTAATTTTCTATAGAGCAAACCTATTGCATCCGTTATGACTATTGTTATAAAAACATTAATTGTTAAAGGTTAAGCTATTTACTTGATCCAAGGAAACTAGTGGACTGGAAAATTTGGGCTGTTTGCTCTTGCACTTGCAAACTAGTTAATTGAGACTGTAATTGGCTAACTTGCTTTTCAAGCTCTTTATTTTTTTTGTTTTGATAATTAATAAAGTCAACAAGTTTAACATTTTTATTAGTTTTTTCTAATTCGGTAAACTCAGTTGGGAACAATTTTTTATATCAACCTAATTGAGTTTCATCATAAGATTGAGCTGCTTCTTGTTCCAGTTGAAGTTCTTCTTTTAATTGGCTAACCATTTGCTGAGACTGTTCAGCTTCTTCCTTTCAACGAGTAATTACTAAGCCAGGATTAGCTTTTTTTCAAGCTTGCAGTTTTTGAGGAAAGTTTTTTATTTTTTCGTCTCATTCTGTTTCTACTGTTATCTTCTCCTTGGCAAACAGGTTGTAAATATTTTGGGACTTAGCGTCTTCTCTATAGGTGGTTGCTGAACAACTAAATTCTTCAATACTATCTGGTAAATATTCTAAACCACTATCTAAATCAGTATTACTAATATCAAGTATTCTTAATTCACTTATATCCTTTAAATACTCTAAGCTACCATATAAGGGATTGTTATTTAAGTACAAATTCTTTAAATTCACCAAACTACTTAAAAAACTTAAATCTTGGTGGAGATTATTGTGGCTTAAATCTAAATATTCTAATTTTTCTCCTTTGGGTAGTTTAATTTGAGTGAGTTGATTATTTCAGCAATGAATTCTTTCTAAATTAGCACAATCACTTAAATCTAAGGTGGTTAGATTATTTTTTTGACAATCAAGTTTATTTAATTTAGGTAAATTATTGAGAGTTAGTTGTTGGTTGTTTTTAAGGGAATAAATGCTTATTCTTTCTAATTGGGGACAATTGGTGATGGTGAGTTGAGTGAGGTTGGAAATTTCTTGATAATTGTTTGTTATTTTCTCTAAATTAGGATAATTATCAATAATTAGTTCACTGAGTTGGTTAAAGTTTAAGTCTTCTAAATAAATTGTTTCTACTTGGGCTTTATTAGGAGGGTATTTTTGATTTAAATCTTCTTGGGCATTAGTCATTATTTACTTGCTCCTTTCCAAATAGCAAAACCAATCCATTTAAAACTTCTTTTTTTCTCTCTCAATCTTTACAATCAGACAGACAACTTTTAATTAACCTATTTGACATAATATATATTTTAGAACTAAATTAATCAATAACCAAGTATTTTTAAAAGAATTAAAATACCGAGTAAAGCAGGACAAAATAAATGTTCAGCAAATAACCGATAAATAAAACCATAATAACCGCACACAAAACCAATAGTTTTGCATCCTTGGTGTAAAAATAACATTAATTAATGCCAGAATTACTAGAACCCAAAAATCAAAAAAAAATTAATTGTTTGCTGAGTATTCTTCAAAAAACCCAGCAAATTTTAAAAGAAAATAGCCAAAAATCTAAGGCACAAAAACTGCTGCAAGAAATTGAAAAAAAACGTCAAACTAAGGAATTTAGCCCCGAACCAGATCAAGAAATTGACAAAGTAGAATGATTAATTAGCCAAAGAAAATTAGTCCTTGAAAATATTGACTTTTTGGCTAAGTTATTACCTTTAAAATCTAAAAACTTGCCTAAAAAACTCCAAGAAATTAAAAAATCGAGCAAAGAATTAACTTCGGGAGAAAAGTATTACAGCATTTTGAGCAAGATTCAATATATTTTCCCTAAACCCCACGCTATTGCTTATACTACCACTGCTTGAAGAACTGCTTATTACAAAGTTTATCATGCTCAAGAGTTTTACTCTGTACTTTTAACTTATCATGTAGCAGTTCATGATATCTGGTTAATGACTTTTGACCCCGCCAGCATTAATTTTCGTCTTGAAAAACTTTTGGAAAGCCTTGGGAAAGCCAAAAATAGTGAAAAAGAATTACTCTCAATTATTAAAGTATTACAAGAATTAATTAAAGGAATTAACGGCGACAAAGTAAATAAAGATGAATTTTTGATTCAAAAAAAAGGAGAAATTAGCACTATTCTTCAGAATACCAAGAAAAACATCATTACGCAAATTGAAAATTCTTCTGAACCAAGCAAAAATCTCCTGCTAGGAAAATTATTGCCACATTTAAATTTAACTGAAGCCGAAAAAAAGCAAGTTAAAGGCAAAGTAAATATTCCCAGTTATGGTTTACGAGATTGAAAATTAACGATTAAAGAAAAAGAGTTACTCTATACCTTGAAAATTATTTTAGAAATGAAAAAAAAGCGTTTGGAATTTGGTCTAGGAGTTGATTTTAATAAGTCAGATATTAAGAACTTCCAAACCATTAACGGGCAAATTTTAATTCCTTTTTCAGCTATTACTGGGATTGGTGAAAGTTATGCTCGCCGGATTATTGATTATCGACAAAAAAAAGGGCAAATTAACAATTGAAAAGAGGAATTAGCAACTATTCTTAATAAAAACCATTTAGAACAATTGGAATATTTAGAAAAATATCAATTAATTATTGGAAGTAATACTAATGTTTAATTTTCATCTTTAAAAAAACGAATATTAGGCTAACAACCATACCAACTAAAAGTCAGCAAAAAATCATTATTAAAAAAACTCGGCTTTGCTTGTCTAACTTCTTGGCACACTTTTTACAAAAAATTCCTCAATTCCTTCAGGGCAAGACGGCTGATTTTTCAATTTCTTCTCCTTCAGGGATTTTTTTATAGCAATTGCTACATAGCATATCAAGTTAAATTTTTACTCACCGGCTTTTCTGGCGGCTAATTTTCTTTCTAAGAAGTATAATTTTGCTCGACGAATTTTTTGATTAATTTTGCCTAGTTTTTTGATTCCCGCGATAAGAGGTGAATGATAAAAAAAAATTTGCTTGATAGTCAATTTATTACTTTCATGAAGCACAGTAAAATTATAACTGATTTGTTTTTTTCTCCTTTGGGCGATAATTATTCCTTTGAACGAGGACAATTTAAATTTTTCTTTGTTTTCTTTATCTTGAATTTTGGTAATTACTTCTACTCTTTCTCCTACTTCTAAAGAGGGCAAATCATCTCTTAAACATGATTTAGTAATTTGGCTCAATAAATTTTCTTGCTTGGAAGATTTGGGTTGTTCCATAATAGATATTTTTAATTGTGAACGGATAATTTCCTGTTTTTGTTGTAAAACGTTTTTTAGTAATAATTATATCTAAATTTGCTGGTAAACTATCTTCTTATGGCTGGGGTGGCTGGAATTGAACCAACGATGAAGGAGTCAAAGTCCTTTGCCTTGCCACTTGGCTACACCCCATATTTTTCTTTATAATAATGGCAAAACTAGCAATTTTAGTAGATTTTCATATAATGATATTTTTATCATGCTTCCTTTCGCGATAGCAATCATTTCTGTTTAATGGGTTTTGTGTTTTTCTTTTTTTGTGTGCGATACATAACCGGCTTTTTATTAACATACTTAAAAAATAACTAAAAAAGGATTTCGCAAAAGAGGAGGTTGATATCCTAATTTTCGGAGGGACTATTTTATTTCTTTTGGGCAAGAGAAAAGGTTAGAACGACGTTCTCTGTCTATCCTTGATTTTCAAGTTCTTCTTTTAAGTAGATACTTTGAAAGCAAGAAACATACAATTTTGCCAAATGATGAATAAAATTTGCTCTCAAGTAAAAATAAGTATTATAAAAAGTAGGATTTTTTCCCTTTTTGATTAAGACAAAAAAAATAATATGCCTGAATTACCCGAAGTAGAAACTGTTCGCCAAATTTTAATCAATGCTGGAGTAGTCAAACAAACTATCCAAAAGGTTGAAATTTATAATAATAGACTAATTAAAGAAATTGAAGAAAAAGAATTCGTTAATTTGTTATTAGGTCAAACCATTCATAAAATAGAAAGAAAAGGCAAATGGTTATTTTTTATTCTAGATACTCATGTATTAATTAGCCATCTAGGGATGACCGGAAAATATTTTGTGGATGAAAATTTACTAGATCCGGAACAAAAAAACGCTACTAGTTTAATTTTTCATTTAAGCAACGGTCAAAAACTAATTTATTGTGATGCTCGTCGATTTGGAAATTTTCGTTTGCAAAACCTAGCAGAATATCAACAATTGAAGCCTTATAAGGACATTGGACTTGACCTGCTTAACGACCAAGTTAATATTGAATATGTATTTACTTGCTACCAAAAACGCAAAATCTCCATTAAAATTGCTTTACTAGAACAAGATGTTATTAGTGGAATTGGTAATATCTATGCTTCAGAAATACTTTTTGCTACTAAAATCTATCCTTTAAAAAAAACTCACGAACTTACTTATTCAAAAGTAGAAAAAATAATTTCTTCGGCTCAATCTATTTTAAAAGAAGCTTTGAAATTAGGAGGAACTTCGGCTTTTGATTTTATTAATCCTTTAGCTCAAAAAGGCAGTTATCAAACTAAATTAAAAGTTTATGGTCGAAACAAAAAACCATGCTATATTTGTACCAATTTAATTGAACAAAAAGAACTTAATGGGCGGAGTACTTTCTTTTGCTCCAAATGCCAAGTTATCTAAGTTTATTTTTTTGTTTCTAATTTTTTATCACTATTTTTCTTACGCCAAATTAAAAAGCCAATTGAACTAATTAACGCAATTATTGCTATTCCCACCGGAATAATTATGTGCCATGGAGTCCCTTTTTTGTTCTTACCATCTGAATTTGTGGAGGAGGTGTTAACAGATTTAGTGGTTGGAGAGGAAATTTGCTCTTCTGCCGCAGAATCAATTGAATTGTTCTCTTCTTCATTCTCTCTCTCTCTCTCTCTTTCTCAATAAGTTGTTTCAAAATTGGCTGGTAGTGTTTTCATTTTTCAACACTTTCTTTATTTAATTGAATAAATTTTTGGATATCATCTTCTGTGAGTTGTTTTAAACTTCTTATTTCACTTAGACTGTTTTCGGCTTGCTTAATACTTGCAGGAACAAGTCGGTAAGTTTCTTCTAAAAGTTTTAGCTCTTCTTCATTAGGCTTAATTTCTCCTTTTTCTCAGCGGTCAACAAATTTAAATGTAATAACATTATAATTATACGCTATTTCACCTTGTAATAATAATTCTTCTCTTGATATTTCTGCTTCACTTTTAACTGGATATTGGGCATAAACATTTAACATTTCTATAAGCAATTGTTTGGCTTCGAGCAAAGAAATTTGTTGATTTTTGCACTTTTTGTTAATAGTTTCCAATCGGGCTCTTCTTTTTTCGCTTGACATATTTACAATTATTTTTAACAATTATCAAAGGAAAAAAAATTAAAAAAGTATTATGGACCAAAAAATTTTGCTCCCTCTTTCTGCTGAAAACATTCTTCAACTGCTGAAAAGGGAATTTCGTCTACCGTTCACCCAAAAAGGACATGATTATTTTGCCCCCTGCCCTTTCCACCAAGAAAAATCACCATCATTCACTTTTGAACCAGAAAAGAAAATTTTTAAGTGTTTTGGCTGCGGATTTGGAGCCGGAAACGTTTTTAAGTTATGGGCTGAAATGAAAAAAATCTCAGTGCTTAAAGTTAAACAAGAAATCAGACAATTAGGCTATCAGGTCGGTTCTGAGGAAAATTTATTAGAGCAAGAAGAAACCAGCAAAGAAAAAAAACTTCTTTCCTTGATAGCCGAAATTTATCAGCACAACTTGGTGTCCGTGGCGGGAAAAAGGACGCTTTCTTATTTAAAACAAGAACGACAACTTACTAAAGAAACTATTCAATATTTTGGACTTGGCTGCTCAGTCAACCACCGGCAATTAACTAATTTATTTTTACCAAACAATGAAGAAGCAAAAAACTTGCTTTTAACTAACTTATTACGGAGTAAAGAAAGCAACCAAATTATTGATTTTTTTACTGAAAACCAATTGATTATTCCTTTCCAAAATGAAAAAGGAGAAATTGTAACTTTTGCATCTCGCAAAATTGAAACTTCCGAAGACGCAACACAAAATAAATATCTTCATTTGCCAAATTATGAAAACTACCAAAAATCTCATTTTTTGTATAATTATTTTCGGGTTAAAAAAATGACTGAAGTAGATTTTTGCTATTTAGTAGAAGGATTTTTTGATGTAATTAGTTTAACTCAAGTTGGAATAAATAATTGCTTAGCTTCATTGGGAACTAGTTTAAGCAGACAGCAAATCAACTTACTTAAAAAACTCAAAAAGAAAATTGTGCTTTTTTTGGATGGTGATGCAGCAGGACAGCAAGCCACAATCAAATTAGCAATTGCTCTTTTAGCACAAGAAATTGAGTGCGAAGTTATTAATCATTCCCTACCCTGTGATCCTGACGAAATTTGTCGACAAAAAAAAGAAGAATTAGCCCAAATTTGTCAAAAAAAAGAAGATCCTTATCTGTATATTTTGCAACATTTTGCTCAAAAGTGGGAAATTAGAGAAAATCCACAAAGTATTAATAATTTTATTCAGAAGATAGCCAGTTTATTTCAGAATTTTCCCTCCAAAACACAAGAATTTTTACTAGAAAAACTAAGTTCACTCACTAATTGAAACAAAGAGGACATCAGAGAAGTTTATTTTGCTTACCAAACCCGAACCAATACCAAAAAAACTAGCAAAGAGGAGAAAATATTGGCTTATTGTTGTCAAAATCGTCGTTGTTGATTGATAATTCAGCAAGAAAATTACTTTTTTTTGCAACCAGAATGCCGTTATTTGTATCAATTGCTTCACAATTATTATACTACTACCCCCCATTTAGAATTTAATTTTGATGAACTAGTTGCTGGCAATAATAATCCTTCCCTAAAAGAAAAAATTCACCGGCTACAAGAAATCGTTGATGAAGATGATAACTTACAGCAAACTAATTCCTTTGTTGAATTTCTTAAATTATTCCAAGCAAAATAGCGAATACTAGAATTGAATAATTCAAGGCAATAATATAAATTTACGCTATAGAATTTATTTAGACTTTTTCCTTAATTTCCTACTTACCAATCAATAAATCCCTAATCCTAATAAAACAATTCCGGCTCCACTAGCAATTAGTAAATAAGTGCTGGGTTGTTTTCAAATATTGTCTCTCTCTCTCTCTCTCTCTCTTGTTGTTGTTGTTGAGCCTTTGTTAATTTTAGTATTTAGTTCTGAGGCAGCCAGGATGAAGTCGCTATCTTTTAAGTCAGAAACGGTAACTTTGACGTGATAGATATTATCACCAGTCATATTGCGACTATATTTATAATTAGGCATAACATAAATTCTGTCGGGAAATGCTTTTTTAGTTTTCGCAATTGATTTTAAGGAATCATCAATGTAAATATCAAAATCGTAATATTTTTCCTTGATAACATCTCAACGTAAATTGGTAGAAACCATTTTGCCATCAACTTTTCCTTTTTTCTCCATTGGAGTAAGTTCTAACTCGACGTTGGCAAATTTACCAAAAGTTTTTTTTTGTTTTGTTATTTTTCCTATCGCAGCTATCATTCCTGGTTTCCCTACATTATAAGCACTAATGATTACCAATTTTTCAATTAGATTTTCTCTTAAAGACTGCACTAATTGCTCGGCGGGGGAGAGAAAAGGTGCTTTAAACCTTTCGGGACGACCATAAAAACTTTTAGCGTAACTTTCTCACTTATAAGGACTCGCTTTCATTTCTAATTTTTCTTGTTCATACTTCTCAATAGCAGCTTTTTCTTCTTCCTTGCCAGTATAACTTTCCGCGTAACTTTTTATTTCTTTATTGCCCTGGCTTCTTTCTTTTTGAAATCCTCCGCCAGTAAGGCTTTCCGGATTAGTAAAGGTCACATTTTCTCAGAAACTTTCAAAGAAGTCAGCAAAGGAAATGCCAGAATTGGGATCCATTTTCTCGTAAATCATTGCTGGCTTCAAAGGCTGCAAACATTCATCTCAATCACAAATGATTTTAAGAGGTCTGCCTAACTCTTGGCTTTTTTGTTTAATTATTTCATAAAGGGAATTGATATTTTTCATTATATTAAAGTTTTGGTGTAAAGTTGTGTTTATTAGTCTAATTTAGAATTATCAAAATGGGTCTTCTTCTTTCTTTTTACGATATCAACGGTAAAGAAAAATTAAAAGAAATCCAACAACAGCAAAAATGATTAATGATTTTTGAGAAATTCAGTCTTGGTCATTATTATTTTCGGTCGTAAAGCCATCTTCTGCTTGGGATTCTTTTTCTAAAGTAAGCAATTCAATTTCGGCTTGCCGCTCATTAATTAGAATAAATTTTTGCGTATCTTTTCCTTGTTTAATTAAGCGAAAATTTTGTTCCACTTTTTTTTTGATTTTGATTTCCTTTTCTGTTAACTCTCTTATTTCAGTTAGTTTTTGTAATGCTCCTTGGATTCTTTCGAGCATTTCTTGTTTTCGTTTTGTAGAAGCAACATTATTAAATTCCCTTTGGAAACCCTTAATATCACTTAAAATGTCTAGCGAATCAATAGTTTTTTTGAGAATTTGTTTTAGTTCAATTTGCTCGTCATTTAAAGAGATCTCGCCAAGTTCTTTGGCTTTTTCTAACAAATCATTAATCAATCCTATTGGTCTTGTTTGAGATAAATAGTCTTGTTCTTTTTCTTCTTGCAGTTCTTGATAGCAGAGAAGATGTTTATTAATTTGACGAGTGATTATTCAATTCATTTTTTCTGCCTTTCGAGAAGCAATTTTTTCTTTTAATTCTTGTCTGTCTTTGGCTCGCCTAATTTGGCTTCTTTCTCTTTTACCAAAGTTGGGAAATCATTGCTGCTGGCAAAGACAGTTGATTTTTTCGAGAAAGAAAACTAAATTTTGCTCAAATTCAAAAATTTCGGAAATGTCTTCCAGTTTTTCGATTTTTGCTTGCCAGTTTTGGTATTGCTGATGGAGTTCTTGGACTTTAATTTTAGTTCTTTGGAAAGTTCTATTGATATTCTTTTTGGCTTGGTCTTGGGCTTCAGATAAAGAAGAAATTTTACTTTTTCGTACTTGGTAAATTTTGTTAATCACTTTTTCTGAGTAATTTTCAAGTCTTTCTAATTTTTTTATTTTACTGATTTCTTGGGCATAAGATGAATAAATGCCAAGTTCGTCAACATTCACCGCCGGAGATTTTTTTAATTCTTGGTCAATGAAATTTTCAAAATAGTTTCTGTCGTGGTAGTTAAAAATCCTTTCTTCTTGGGCTTCTAAAATGTTTTTTGCCAAATGTCTTCCGTCGTGTGAGTCTTTAATTTTCTTTTTGTGTTCTTCTGATAAAGGAGGCTTTCAGGCTCTTTGGAAAATTTCAATTATTTCGTCGGCTAAAATTCGATTTTTATCTTTATATTCTTGGTATTGGGGATCTTTTCATTGTTCTAGAGAATAGTTCAATTCTCTTGCTTTTGCGGCTTCACTTTTTTTGATTTGGGCTTCATTTCATATTTTTCATTTGTTGTCTTTTAAATCTTCCGGGAAATAGCCTAAACTATTTGGAAAACCGTCCTTTGAACCCTGTTCTTGGAGGTAATTTTCCAAAACCTGATAATCAATTGAACCATCCTCTTTCAATCAAAGATAACTTTTATCCAAATTATCAAAAAAAACTTGGTGGCTAACATTGTGTTTGGCAAGAGTTTGTTGAAATCGAGAGTCATCTTCGCAAACTAGAATTAATTTTTCTTTTAAATATTCGTCGAGTGAATTTTGATATTTGCTTACCTCTTCAGTTAATTTTGTGAATTCTTGGTCGATTTTTGCTAATTCTTGTTTAAATTGAGTGATTTTTTCTTGATCTTGATAATTTGACGAAGAGGCAAAAATCTGATTTTCTAGCAAAGTAACTTTATTTTCTAGTTGTGTTGGCTCAGCAAATTCGGCTAATTCTTGGGAAAGCCGGTTTTTTTGGGCAATTAATTCTTTACTTACTTGATCGTTAGTTTTATCATGGAGCCGCTGAAGTAGCAGAAAGCACTGTTCTAAATTTTTTTGG